CTTTTCTAATTAGAATTCGCCTTCCCTGCCTTGTCTCATTAGTTCTTAACTCCCCCAGTTCCTGCCTCCAAAGTGGATCACCATCCCTCCCCTCTTCATTCCCACCATATCATGTCTATGATTATAATAACCTCTTATGATAGTTGTATCCTGATCAGTATCCCTATCTCCTGTTCTGCTTTGCAGAAAATCCAGATTATTTTGCTGATCATCTTAAAAGGAAAGTCAGAGTTAAAAGTTTCTTTAGTTTCATAATCACTTCAACACATTTTGATAGGTTTCTGCTTATTACCCAAACACCTTTATAACTTTATACCTTGCGTAAGTCCTTAGATTTGTATCAAATATTAAAGGGAAGCTTACTTACCGTCCAAATGAAGACTGAGTACAAAATAGCCATGTCTCTATATGCGATCCAAAAACACATTTGAGCACCTTAGCTCCATGCTAAGTTCTGTGAGAAGTATAAAACAGCTCCTCCAGAACAATTCTTTCTACAAAGTAGAATACAGTAAGTGGTTCTGGTATAAGCAGTGTTATGAGAATAGAGGCTCAGAGTCAATTCAGGAGGGAGGGAACTCGTGGAAAGCTTCATTGAAGCTTAGAATGATCTTTTTTAAAAAAGGCATGGTGGCAGCATCTGACCTCCTCATCTAGCTTCTCAAGAGGGAAAGAGAATCAAGATCAACAGCCCAAGGCTGAGTCAAACATACTTCCACACTCCAACCTTTTTACCAGTTCTGATACCAGCTGTTCCTACGACAGCACTCTGTACTTCTCTGCTGGGGTTCATTAGGGAAGTAACAGGTTACAATTCAGGATACAGTTCTTTGATCATGACAGCCTCCTCATGCCCGTAGGCAGACCTCTCTCTGGCCCTTGGCCCCGTGGCCTGGCCTCTGCCTTTCTTGGGCAGGTGCTACAGAGCTCTTTCTCTCTGCCAATAAGTGCCTGGAGGCATCCCACTCCATCAGTAAGCCTCGGCCCGAAGGTGCTCAGCTCTCTTGCTCCGTGGGTAGGCAAGCCTAGCTTCATGGACAAGTGCCTGGAGGCACCCCACTCTACCACAAGCCTCCTGCCCAAAGACACTCAGCTCTTTCACTCTGTGGGCCTGCTAGCCTAGCTCCCCCACATGCCTGGAGGCACCTTACTCTATCAGCAAGCCTCCTGCCTGACAGCACTCAGCTTTCTGGTTCCATGGGCCAGAAAGTTCACCGCGCAGTCTCCTGCTGGTCTCCTGGTTCTGCTGCCTCTGCTGCCACCATTTCTCTGCCACTGATTCTTGTTGTCTCGCTGTCTCCAGTGTTATCTCCAGCATTACAGCTCTCTCTGTCTCCTGGATCTAGGTGAGGCTCAGCGCAGGGATCCCGGGTCCAAAGGACACGTTCCATTTCTGATTCTTTTTCTTGGTGGTAGTCAGGTCCCCCTTTTTCACTTCTGGGATGGCTCGTTTTAAGCCTAGCAGGATGGCAAAACTGACCAATCCCCTCATTAAGGTTCCCACTCCCCAAGGTGCCATGCACCTTATTTGTATTATTAGCAAGCTGTCCAATCCCCTTGGTAATGTGCAAGCACCTTATTTGTATAGTCACATCCAATCTTTCGGTGGGAGTTACAAGACTGTGGCTAACCAAACTAAAATCAAACCTGTTGCCGTCAAGTCGATTCCAACTCATAGCAACCCTACAGGACAGAGTAGAACTGCCCTATAGAATTTCCAAGGAGTGGCTGGTGGATTTGAATTGCCAGCCTTTTGTTTGGCAGCCACAGCTCTTAACCACTGTGCCACCGGGGCTACAAGGGCCATATTCAGTAAATCATTGCACCACATCTTTGAAGAGTGAATCATCTTTGAAAAAGCAGTAGAAAAGTATAGGGAAGAATTCCAGGCTGAGGTGTGAAAATGTATGACTTGTTTGGGAAATGGTGATGTAACTGAACTTTCCCGTGCCCAGGCATGAGAGTTCGGACGGGTAGATTGGAGATAGTGTGGCATAAGGATTTTGGACTCTTACCTAGTCCTGAATCTCTTCTCTGTTGCTTGTTTATTAGTAGAGTTTATATACTCAGTTTTTATGAAATTCAGTAATTAAGCGTCTGTCACAGTATCAGGCTTATGGTGAGTGATGGTAAATAGTAAGCTTGTTTACTTCATCCTGGATTGCTGAGGGCCTTGAATGCCATGTCAGGTCCTGGAAAAGTCTCTATTCTGATGCTTTACTCCCTGTTTTGGTAAATGTTATTTTTGTCAAAACAAAGTATTCACCTTCATATTGTTGAAATCAAGCTGTCTTTTTGAGCCAAATAACATACTGTACTAAGATGAGTATTAAAAGAGGATGACACTTTGTCCCTCAGGTTAAAAATGCAGAACTTTTGTGTGTGTGTTAAAGTTTTTCTTTTTTTTTTTTTTTACTTTAGACGAAGGTTTACAGGATGGATAGTTTCTCATTAAAAAGTACACATATTGGTTTATGACATTGGTTAACAACCCCATGACATGTCAACACTCTCCCTTCTCGACCTTAGGTTCTGTATTACCAGCTTTCCTGTCCCCTCCTGCCTTCTCGTCCTTGTCCCTGGGCTGTTGCACCCCATTAGTCTCGTTTTTGTTTTATGGGGCTGTCCAGTCTTTGGCTGAACGGTGAACCTCGGGAGTGACTTCATTACTGAGCTAAAAGGGTGTCCAGGGGCCATACTCTCGGGGTTTCTCCAGTCTCTGTCAGGCCAGTAAGTCTGGTCTTTTTTTGTGAGTTAGAATTTTGTTCTACATTTTTCTCCAGCTCTGTCCAGGACCCTCTGTTGTGATCCCTGTTAGAGCAGTCAGTGGTGGTAGCCGGGCACCATCTAGTTATACTGAACTCAGTCTGGTGGAGGCTGTGGTAGTTGTGATCCATTAGTCCTTTGGACTGATCTTTCCTTTGTCTCTTGTTTTCTTCATTTTCCTTTGCTTCCAAAGGGGTGAGACCAGTGGAGTATCTTAGATGGCTGCTTACAGGCTTTTAAGACCCCAGACGCTATTCACCAAGGTAGATTGTATAATGTTTTCTTTATAAACTATGTTATGCCAATTGAAGTAGATGTTCTGTGAGACCATGGTCCCCACATCCCTCAGCCCAGCAATTCGGTCCCTCAAGGAGTTTGGATGTATGTATGGAGCTTCCATGACCTTGCCTTGTACAGGTTGTGCTGGCTTCCCCAGTATTGTGTGCTGTCATACCCTTCACCAAAGTTATCACTTATCTTTTGTCTATTTAGTATTTCCCCCCCACCCTTCCCATCCCTCGTAACCATCAAAGATTATTTCTTTTTGTGTGTTAACCTTTTCACGAGTTTTTACAGTAGTGGGGGTCTCATACAATATTTGTCCTTTTGTGATTGACTTATTTCACTCCGCATAATGTCCTCCAGTTTCATCCATGTCATGAGATGCTTCGCAGATTCATCATTGTTCTTTATCGTTGCATAATACTCCGTCGTGTGTATGTACCATAGTTTGTTTATCCATTCATCTGTTGATGGGCATCTAGGTTGTTCCCATCTTTTTGCTATTGTGAACAATGCTGCAGTGAACATGGGTATGCATATGTCTAGTCATGTGATGGCTCTTATTTCTCTAGAATATATTCCTAGGAGTGGGATTTCTGGATCGTATGGTGTTTCTATTTCTAGCTTTCTAAGGAAGCACCATATTGTTTTCCAAAATGGTTGTTTCATTTTGCATTCCCACCAACAGTGCATAAGAGTTCGATCTCCCTGCAGCCTCTTTAGCATTTGTTATTTCCAGTTTTTTTGGTTCGTGCCAGTAATTCCAGGGTGAGATGGTATCTCATTGGGTTTTGATTTGCATTTCACTAATGGCTAGTGATCATGAGCATTTCCTCATGTGTCTGTTGGCCGCTTGAATGTCTTCCTTGGTGAAATGTCTGTTCATTTCCTTTGCCCATTTTTTAATTGGATTATTTGTCTTTTTGTTGTAGAGGCCTTGGATTTTCTGTAGATTTTAGAGATTAGACCTTTTCTGACTTGTAACTTCCAAAAATTTTTTTCCCAGTCTGTAGATTCTCTTTTTACTCTTTTGGTGAAGTCTTTTGATGAGCATAAGTTTTTAATGTTTAGAAGATCCCAGTTATCTAGCTTATCTGGAGTTTGTGTGTTGATGGTTATGGTTTGTATCCTGTTAACGCCATGTATTAGGTCCTCTAGAGTTGATCCTGTTTTTTCTTCTATGATCTTTATAGTTTTTGGCTTTATATTTAGGTCTTTGATCCATTTTGAATTAGTTTTTGTATATGGTGTGAGGTATGGGTCCTGTTTCATTTCTTTGCAGATGGACATCCAGTTTTGCCAGCACCATTTGTTAAAAAGACTATCTGTTCCCCATTTGATGGACTTTGGGCCCTTATCGAAGATCAGGTGACCGTAGGTGGATGGATTTACATCTGGGTTCTCCATTCTGTTCCATTGGTCAGTGTGTCTGTTGTTGTACCAGTACCAGGCTATTTTGACTACCGTAGCTGTATAGCAGGTTCTGAGGTCACGTAGTGCAAGTCTTCCTGCTTTCTTCTTCTTCTTCAATAGTGCTTTACTTATCTGGGGCTTCTTCCCTTTCCGTATAAAGTTAATGATTAGTTTTTCCATCTCTTTAAGGAATATTGTTGGTATTTGGATCGGGATTGAAAAATGCAGAACTTTTTGATAGCAACTAAGAAGGCTATATTAACTTTCTTAAATGTTCTTTATATTATCGAGCAGGGAACAAGAAGTCTTTTCTTTAGTATGTCTGTATCAGGAATTGGCTGTATTGAAACTTCTCTTTCTTTTTCTCTCGCTTTGTCTCTTTCCCTTCCTCCCTTTCTTCTCTCTTTCTTGTTTTTTTGTTTTTAACTTATAGCTTCATGAACTCACTCATTTTTTTGTTTTTGATTGTTTTGCTGTAAGTTAGTAAAATGACAGTGAATTCATTCTCAACAACATTTCCTTGTTTGTCTGTTGGTCAGCAGGAAGAAGATGAGCCTGAAGTCTGAACGCCGAGGAATTCATGTGGATCAATCGGAGCTCCTGTGCAAGAAAGGATGTGGTTACTACGGCAACTCGGCTTGGCAGGGCTTCTGCTCCAAGTGCTGGAGGGAGGAATACCACAAAGCCAGGCAGAAGCAGATTCAGGAGGATTGGGAACTGGCAGAGCGGTAAAAGGACTTAACTAAGGGTGGCTTAAGAATGACGTTACTGGGTACATAGTCATGTCATCATTAAAATGCATTTTTCTCTTCTGAGTTACCTGTGAGTCAGCTTAATGTTTATTGTTGTTGTTGTTAGGTGCCATCGAGTCGATTCTGACTCATAGTGATGTTGTGTACAACAGAATGAGACACTGCCTGGTCCTGTGCCACCCTGACAATCATTGTTACGCTTGAGCCCATTGTTGCAGCCACTGTGTCAGTCCATCTTGTTGAGGGTCTTCCTCTTTTTCACTGACCCTCTGCTTTACCAAGCATGATGTCCTTCTCCAGGGACTGGTCCCTCTTGATAACATGTCCATTGTACGTGAGATGAAGTCTCACCATCCTCACTGCTGAGGAGGTTTCTGGCTGTACTTTTTCCAAGACAGATTTGTTCATTCTTCTGGCAATCCATGATATAGTCAACATTCTTCACCAACACCATAATTCAAATGCCTTGATTCTTCTTCAGTCTTTCCTATTCATCATCCAGCTTTTGCATGCATATGAAGTGAATGAAAATACCATGGCTTGGGTCAGGTGCACCTTAGTCCTCAAAGTGATATCTTTGCATTTTAACGCTTGAAAAGAGGTCTTTTGCTTAATACTTAGAGAAAGAAATTTCTTTTCTCAGTCAGCAGTTAATGAATAACTCAATGATACCTTCATTTTGTGTTTATGTTAATTTCTTATTATTTGTGTTTAGGGTTTGTTAGTCTTAGTTCTCTAACTTGGACAATAAGCTCTTTGGAGTAGAAGAATGGAGATGAGTGTACTTCATGGTGAAGAGTAAATGAGATAATATATATGAAGTACCTAGCACAGGGCTTGGCACACGGCTCTCATCAAGCATTTATTTCCCTCATTCTTTTAACATATCCAGCATGGCATCTGGCACAGTGCTGAACACGTAATAGATGCCTAGTAGTTGCCTGTTCATTTGTATACATAGTCCTTACATTACAGGAATTTAACTTTTCCTTAAAAGTGATTTTTGGGTGGAGCCAAGATAGGGGCTTAGTCATATGCACCATAACATCCCCCTGCACCACACCCCCCCCCAAAAAACAAGCAAAACAGAAGCAGATAACAATCCACAAGCCATGAACATCAAAAAAGAAGGTCTAAGAACTGACTTGAACACCATATGGAAGCAAAAAGTGAGTGAAACCAGCAAAAGAGGAGTAACACAGAAGGGAGGAGCTCTGCCAGCCATCCTGGCCCGACGTGGCCAACTTAGGACAAAGCCAGCAGTGACCCTGGGGGAAGAAAACAGCATGGAAACTTCATGACTTTCCCAAAAGGGACAGAGAAGCTCTAGAGACACACACACAAAGAAGCAGAGGCAGGGAGGGAGCTAGGATCCAGAACCAGAGATACTCAGGAATGAGGGCCCCTAACCTCAGGGGTGAATGACGCATATGATGCAGTGGACCTGCGTAGTATCAGCGGGAGGTCTCCCACCCAATCAGTTTCTAGGAGGCCGCCCCTCCTTGCACTGGAGAGGGAACAGGTCCCACTCACTGGCTGCAGCAGTCATGAGGTTCCCCGGCGCCTGCGCAACCTAGCTGGAGGGATGCACTCCTCCTCACCCTATCTTCCTGATCAGAGGCAGTAGGGCGTCCTATACCTTGACCATCTTGCCTGACTGGGGGACCACAATATGAGCCTATCCTCTTCCCCCCTACCCCACCCAAACCCGTCTATTACCCACCCTTGCCAACCAGATAAGCAAGACTAGTCACTCCCCTGTGCACGTGCCTGCCTGCTACCTGCAGCCCCGCTAAGGGCCTGGTGGGGGTCAGCGATGGCAAGAGAAAGAGCCTGCTCCCTCCTCCATCCCCCCGCCTGGCAAGGGGTGGAGGAGATGAGACTGTGTCTGTACCCCTCTGCCACCCCATCCTCCCTCCCCACACCTGGTGCGAGGTGGAGGCGGTGCCACTGTACCCGCATCCACCAAGCGTGACTCCCTCCATTTACCTGCCCAGTGAGGGGCAGAGGAGTTGTAACTGCATGTGCATCCCCTCCGAGGCCGTTTCCTCCCTTGCCCTGCCCAGCGCAAGGTGGAAATGGAGTGAGTACATGCACATCTGTCCACTGCACCTTCCTTCCTTTCCCCGCCCAATGACAGGCGGATGCGACGTGACTGAGAAAACCCACCTGCCATTCCTTCCTCCCTCCCTCTACCTAAGAGGAAGCAAAGGTAGAGCAACTGCGGACACATCCGCCTGCTACCCCACCACCACCCACACACCCTCAACTGGCAATAAGTGATGACCATGCTCCCACTCGCCCATCACACACACCACACTGGCTGCTGTACCTGTAAGGAGGGCACACTTCCTGCTCATGTGCCACCAAACTGAAGATATACAGAGGCCAAAGCCCAACTAACCCACCCTCAGCCGCCCTGCAAGACCAGTAAATAGAGATTCAAGCTCCCACACCTACTTGGCACCCCACTCACCGGAGACAGGGAGTGCTCCAGCACGGCCAATCCAGTGACCAGAGCACCATGCCAGCCACACTTGCCAGGAATCATCAAAATAAAATGAAAAAGGACCCAGAAAACAATTATACAGTTTAAAAATAAATGCAATAACTCCTTAATGGCCCCAAAACAACAGACAATAGCATACCACTTAAAGAAGCAGGGCAAGATGGCCCCAGCCAGTGACCAAAATAAAGAACCAGAAATCCTCCCTGGGGAAGAAAAGGTAATGGAGTTTCCTGATAAGGAATTTGAAAGACATATATATAGGATCCTCAAAGGAATCAAGGAAAACACAGACAAAACTATGGAAAACACAGACATAACCAAGGAAAGCACAGACAAAATGCTAGAATTCAGGAAAACAATACAAGAACAAAATGACAAATAAGACAATTGTAAACCATACAGAAACAGCAACTAGAAATCCAGAAGTTTAACAATAAAATTTCAGAAATAGAGAACTCAGTGGAAAGTCATAGGAGTAGAATTGAAACAAAAGAAGACAGGATCAGTAGAATAGAAGACAAATCTCTTGACACTAATCTGTTTGAGTAACGACCAAAAAAAAAAAAAAAAAAATGAAGAAAGCCTAAGAGTTATGTGGGACCACCATCAAGAGGAATAACTTACACTTGATTGGAATCCCAGAAGGGGAGGAGTTAACAAAAAGCACAGAGAGAACTGTTGAAGATTTGCTGGCAGAAAACTTCCCTAATATCATGAAAGATGAGAAGCTAACCATCAAGAAGCACAATGAACCCCATACAGGACAGATCCCAAAAGAAGAACACCACGACATATCATAATCAAACTTTCAAAGACCAAAGGCAAAGAAAGAATCCTGAAAGCAGCTCAGGAAAAACAAAAGATCACCTACAAAGGGGCATTGATAAGACTAAGCTCTGATTAGTCAGCAGAAACCATACAGGCACGAAAGCAATGAGATGACATATACAAAACCTTGAAAGAAAAAAAAAACTGCCAACCAAGAATTATATATCCAGCAAAATTATCCTTCAAATGCGATAGTAAAATTAGGACATTTCCAGATAAACAGAAATTAAGAGAATTTATAAAAACCAGACCAACTTAACAAGAAATCTTACAGGGGGTACTTCAGACAGAAAACTAACAACACCAGACAACAATCTGAGATTAAAACACATGACATCAGCCAGATATCAGCCCAGATAAAGAAACCTCAAAAATAAAGGTAAAAGAAGGAAAACAGGGAACCAGGGACGTCAATCTGTAAATGACAACCACTTGCAAACATAAAGGGGGAATAAAGGGTATAGGTTTAGAACTTCCATATGGAGAGGAAATCAAGGCGATATCAAGAAATAAATTACTGCTTTAAACTTAGGAAGATAAAGGTAAATTTCATGGTAACCACAAAGAAAATTAACAAACCTATTCATCAAAATATAAAAAGAAAATCATAGACTCAGTACACACAAAACCAACAATGAAGGAAATGAAAGACAACCCACAATCAAAGAAAAAAAAAAAAACTCAGCACAGAAAATTAAGCGGGATGAAGCAACAGTCAACACCACAAAAAAAAAAAAAGCATAGCAAAATGACAGCAATAAACTCATACCTGGCAATAATCATACTGAATGTAAACGGCCTAAATGTACCAGTAAAGAGATGGAGGGGGAGTGGCAGGATGGATGAAAAAAAATACACAATCCATTGATATGCTGTCTACAAGAGACACACTTTAGACACAAAGACATAAATAAACCGAAAGGATGGAAAAAAATGTATCAAGCAAACAGTAACCAAAAAAGAGCAGGAGTGACAATATTAATCACTGATAAAATAGACCTTAAGGCAAAATCCACCATAGAAGACAAGGAAGGACATTGTATAATGATTAAAAGGTCAATCTACCAAAGAGGAAATAACCATAGTAAGTATATATGTACCCAATGGCAGAGCTGCAAAATACATAAACTCTTAACAGCACTGAAAAGAGAAATAGAAACTTCCCACAGTAATACTAGGAGACTTTAGCACACCAGTCTTGGAGAAGGACAGAACAACTAGAAAGAAACTCAGCAAAGACACAGAAGATCTAAATACCACAATCAACCAACTCAACCTCATATAAAGAATACGTCACCCAACAACAGCAAAGTACACATTCTTCTATAGTGCTCATGGATCATTCTTCAGAATAAACCACATTTTAGGCCACAAAGCCAGCCTCAAAAAATTCAAAAACATCGAAATATTGCAAACATTGAACCACATAAACTATAGCCTACACGACCCCAAGATCAGAAGAACTAGATAGTGCTTGGCTACCACTACCGGCCGCTCTGACTGGGATCACAACAGAAGGTCCTGGACAGAACGGGAGAAAAATGTAGAACAAAAAATCAAATTCACAAAAAAGACCAGACTTACTGGTCTGACAGAGACTGTAGGAACCCCTGAGACTATGGCCCTAAGACACCCTTCT